CCCTCTGTTGTAATCCCTTCTGACACCATGTGCTGGGGTGTAGATTTATGAGTGATGTGGTCTAATATCACACTAGATGATGAAGCAGTGTATTTTTCCGTGACGCTTATTTCCAACATTGCTGATACTGTCGACGTTGGCATCGTTTCCACCGAGGGAGTTCCGCTTAACTTGGATTCGTACAACTGTATCGAAGTCTGTGCTACCATTTGATCAGATCTCAGAGGAGGAGTGCTTCCTAATATTTGCCCTCTTGACGATTCTCGGGAAACATACTCAGTCGATTGAACATTAGGTTGATTTATTTGGGAGACCAGGACATTTGAAGATGATAGCGTCAATTCTTGAGTGTCTAGAATTTCATTTGGAATATGTGTTTTCAGGGTCCCTTCTGAGACGTGATTACTAACATAGATAGGTGATTGGGATGTACTCTGAACATTTTCAGATATATAAATAGGTATTTCTGATGAAACAATGCCAAGAGCCACGGAAGGTGTAATTGTTATTCTATTTGCGTCTAAGGATTCTGTTTCAGCTTCACTTCTTGAGGGAAATTTTGATTCATGGTTTTGTGGTACCTTGTACGTGCTTGATGCCACCATGTTATAGCTAATGGGTACTGACGTTTGGACCCCTGCCTGATATCCACCAGATGATTCCATCTGGTATAGATTTGATAATGTGGAACTTACCCCATGTGCGTTGGATGAAAGTATGCTTTTGGAGGGTTTGACAATTTCAGAAGATTTAGATACATAGTTATTGGGAATGGACGAATCTACTTGATATACTGCAGATGATTCAATCTGTAGGTGGTTAGATGAAGCGATGCTCATTTGATTTTGGTATGACGGTGCCACGGATAATTTGGTCTGGTGTTGATTGTAGTAAGTAGAACTTAGCTGGTTTACGTATGATGAAGCTATGCTTTCAGATGAATTGGGTTCATAGATATTGTTTGTTGATGATGGTAGTTCTCCTTGGTGTCCATTAGATGATTCAATCTGAAATTGGCTAGACGAAACGGAGCTGATTTGATTTTGGTAGGACGGTGCTACAGAGGATGCACTTAAAGTTTCGAAAATTGGTAGGGATAATACTGATAATTCCAAGTTTTGAGAATATGACGCCGAAGGAACGTTTTGAACTGAGGATTCTGTTAGGGAATATTGAGAACTTTCTTTCATTGAAGCATATATGGCGGAAGGTGAGGATGCTGTGTTTGATGTTTCATGGCTACTTCTTGAAGATTCCCAGGTTTGTGAATGTGATCTAGAAGGAGCAATTTCTAACGAGGACTGTGATGGAGCAGATATCGAAGCTGAAGAAGGTGTGGTAATTTCAGGTAGGGCTAATGATGAGCTTTTTAGTGGCATAGTGGTACCCGAAGAATTGATCTGTGGTTTGGGAGATGTTTTGAGGAGATGTGGGGGATGTGTGTGGCGACCACATACGCCACACGATTTTGGACAATCTTCTTTCACTACAACGTCTTTACAATATTCGTGAAGATTGCCTTGTATAGTATCGCATTCACTATCTTTGTCCTCGCATTTCCCACCGCTGTTATCCGGTATAAACATTCCACAAACACCACAAGATACGGGACAGTACTCGTAAACCCATACCTCTTTACAGACGGGGGTTCCTCGAATTAATTCACAATCAACAGCGGCATGATCCACGCAGTCGTCCAAGAGTGGCTTAGATCCAGTTCGTTCTATACAGACAAACAGCAGAGTCACTTAAATGTAAAAAAAATGTAAAAAAAAGAAAGAGAAAAAATGCTGATTATTGTCGTTTGAAGGATATTGTTAAAGTTGGATTTACGAAAGGAATATCGGTTCAAGAGAGAGAGAGAGAGAGAGATAGAGAGAGAGAGAGGAGAGAAAGAGAGAGAGAACGGCCACTCGACACAAACTAGGTCATTTCGGGACTAATATATACGGTTCAATTTTATTTCAACAATTCGCTTGCGCGTAGGGATCTTTAGCAGTGGGAAGACCGGGAGAAAACCCAAGAGGTTGGACAGGCGAACCTGCTCCTGCTCCTTGTCACGTACATCCGGAGAATCGAAACCACGCCAGATACCCAATGACAGACCTTATGATACAGCGCGCGCTAACCATTCGGCCATCCCGGTTCAAAACGATAGGATGAATAGAATATTTTGCAACGACATTCGGTGCGTTTGCAAACAGATTAGAGAAAACGTGTAGGTAAATATTTTGGAAAATGGTTTAATTGTACCATTATGAGGTTGAACATTTACGAAATTATTTTGGGAGCTATTGTACTTGTCTCGGAAAACGAGTTACGATTTCAAGAATTATTTTGGGAGCTATTGCCAAGGAATAGTTCTCGTACAGAGAAAGGTTAATGTTGAGATTTGCATGATTCATTTGTCACATCATGAGAATGGACCCTATAGAAAATCGCGGGGGGGGGGGGGATGGCCGAATGGTTAGCGTGTGCGTGTTGTATCATAAGGTCTGTCATTGAGTCAAATGGCGTGGTTTCGAATCCCTGGTTGTACGTGACAAGGAGTAGGGTAGCCTGTCCAACCTCGTGGGTTTTCTCCGGGTACTCCGGGTTCCTCCCACTGCTAAAGACACATCAGCGCATGCGGATTATTGAAATAAAATTGAACCATGTGTTAGTCCCGAAATGACCTAGTTTCGATGTATTTCAAGAATTTTATTCGGACCCTATAGTATTATAGATTGAATTTACTGTATTGTTGATTTTTTCGACACCTTCATGATGTATCCGTTATATGAGGATGAACCCTATCGCAATCAATTCCTTACCATGAATTTTTTTGCCAATGCAACTATTTTTTCTAAATATATTTGTTTAACCATATCTTCATTGGATTATGGAAGATTAAAGCATTTCTGCAAATTTGTATAAAGTAACTTCCTTCGCATGAAAAGTTTGTAAACATGTTATTCAAACTGGATTTGTGGCCAAATAAATGGTGGTTAATAGATAATTTGATCTGATGATAAACACAAGCGTACGAGCTGGGAGCAAGGGCAAAACATTTCTTTTTCAGGTAGTTGCAAAATGATGAAATAGTTAATATTTTCATGGAAAAATTTAAATTTTCATGAAAAATATAAATTTTCCCAAAAATATAAATTTTCCCAAAAATTAAAATTTTCATGGAAAAAATTAAAATTTTCATGGAAAAAATTAAAATTTCCATAGAAAAAGTTAAAATTTCAATGGAAAGAAATACATTTCATGGATATCATGTTATAAAAGTTAAATGCGAAAATTATTCCATCCCGCAAAATGAAGTCCCTGAAATCCAAGTCATTTTTTGACAAATGGGTGATGTGATGCAATTCCCAACCGGAGTTCAGAGTTTCCGAAAATCACACAATTCTGAGTTTGATTCAGGGTGTCTAGTTCACAAAATTAAACTGCAGTTCGAGAATATCCAGTCCACTAGACGCTACTTGCCGTTATTTTTGAGAATTTAGTACGGCTATTTTGCGATCGGGAGCTATCTGGTAAAGTATACAGGCTCATTTTCGGGCAAAAATAATACAATCACCCACCCACCGAAGGAAAATCGGCCCGAATCCTGATGATAAACTTTCATCAAACGTTTGTCCCTTCTTCACTGCGCAGACGATTTGCCGCCAGTTGAATGATCGTGTATAGTCATTCAGTGAATATAATAATATCACCTTTAAATTTTATTCCTTATGGACGTAAAATAACAATGATTTTTTAAGAAATGGAAACTTTTTTTTTTAAAAAAAAAATAGAGTAAAATTTCTAGTTTTGAGTAGGTTATCTCAAAGTCGAAATAATTTGATTAATTTAAGACAAGATATGAAATGTACCTGTATATAATATAGAAATCATGGTAGAAATCCTAATCCCTTTGTCCACTATTGTCAGAGAACCCGCTCCGACATTTATCTTAAGACCAGTGATATATATATAAAAACTCCCCTAGCCACTTATCAGATAGAGTTTTGTGAACTATAGGTCGTACAGATAAGATAAATAAAGCAATCTTTCATATTAACCCGATCACAAATTTTTGGGTGTGTGTATATTAATGAAAACATAGGATTTGGTATCCGGGCGTATTGACCAATTATCTAAAATCAACCCTCTTCTCTGATTATTGTAATAGATTAAATAAATACGTATTACAACTTATTCACGGTTATATTGTAATTCTCACTTGAAATATTGCAGTCAGGTTTTCTGAGATTAAAATATAATATTTGGTTGGGAATTACCCCCTTGTCTCGTAAACAGGCCTGTATCAAGCGGGGATGGGGTCGGGGGCAGCCCAACCAATGGCAATCGGCTTTATGGGACACCTAAACTGATATGGACACGTTGGTCGCTGGCTTCGTATTGTTCCCCACCCCCACCCCCCACCCCCCCGCGCAAGTTACGGGCCTGCTACAGCACGACGTAATTGCCCCAGCCACGGTGGCTATGTGAGTAAGACGCTGGCTCGCTAGCCTGGAGATCGCGGGTTATCCCTGTGTAGGCCGAGAATGTGCATCGGGATTTTCGGCTTGGTTTCCCCTTATCAGTGGTGCAGGACGGAGGGCCTTGCAAGGACAGCTGTCTAGTAGTTAGGATGGGCCGAAAAACACGATAAGGATCCCTTGGCAGTTGGGATTTGACATAAGAGTAGGTCGTTGCGCCGCTGTCCGGGCAAAATATCCCTCATAGCACACTGTATGGCCTATGTCCGTCTTCAGTTTTTTTCAAAGGTCACGAGATCTAAACAGGGCTAGCACTAATTCCAAGCCTAACCCTAACCCTGGACCTAGCCCCATTGCTTACCCTAACCCCAACCTACAATCTCAACGACCTTGACGAAAATTGAGCTGGCCTTAACAAATAGATATTGCCGTACGACCCCGCCTGACAGAACAGAAACATAAATACGTGTATAAGTCTGAAGAATTGATATTTTTAATTTCAACTACAAAGATTATATTTTACACACTTTTTGAAAAGTATTTGCACGGACAAATGGTGAACAAAAATAAATGAACACAAATCAAGACCGTTTCCAATGTTGATAATTTTTTATTTATTGGTTAGGCCTATGTGTTATTGATTAGGCCTATGTTTTATTGATTAGGCCTATGTTTTATTGATTAGGCCTATGCTTATTGATTAGGCCTATGTTTTATTTGTCTTTAGGGTGTCCAGATGCGGGACTGTATTACGGTTACAGTTATTTGTCTCACAACAAAACTGGCAACTAAATGCCGTTGTGTAGATTTTATTATTGTCAAAGAATTGGCATTCCTGTCTGGTTGATGTTTTATTTAACCACTCATAATTACACTCAACTTCACTTACACATCTGGAAAAGAAATGAATTGAAAATGAAATGAAATGGGGTTTAACGTCCTACTGTTCTGCGCCAACTGGGCTAATGGAGACGGGGCATACGCCGTACAGTGTGGTATGAGGGAAATTTTGGCCCGGACAGCGGCACTACGGCCCACTCTTTATCGAATTCCAACTGCCAAGGGATCTTTTACGTGCACGCCAATGTATACACGGGATCTCGTTTTTTCGACCCATCCGAACGACTAGACAGCTGTCCCTGTCAGGCCCTCCGTCCTGCACCACTATCACGGGAAAACCACGTCGGAAGGGTGCAAACATCTTGTGCAAGGTGGATAACTCCAACGACCTGATTTTGAAAAATGTACATCCCGGTTATTCTGGACAACATTGTCAATTTCTTTATTAAATACTGCACCAAATACAAAATAAACAGCGCTATTAAATTTCTTGTGAAACAAAAAGAAGTGGATATTATATAGTAATCTAAAAATCTATTAGTTGAGAGAGAGAGAGAAATGGGGTTTAACGTCCACTTGACACAAACTAGGTCATTTCCGAACTAACTCATGGTTCAATTTTATTTCAGTACTTCGCTTGCAACTAGGTGTTGCCCGAGGAAGTTCATCGGGTTTTATCCGGAGGGCCTGACGAAAAAACTAGGCCTCGTGTACACGTTGACGCGCATCTAAAAAAACCTGGATGGAGCAGAAAGTTGGGCGTTAAGCCCAATTTTGTCTTTTAAATTAAATTAGGGATTATGTTACGTCAGGTCTTCTGTATCTAGATAAGGTTATAAGAACTTTTTCCGGCGTGGTTTCCACTTGCCAGTGATGCAGGACGGAGGGCCTGACCAAAACGCCTGTCTAGTCGTTCGGATGGGACGAAAACCGAGGTCCCGTGTACACACTGCCCTGCTCGTAATAGATCCCTTGACAGTTTGAATTAGATGTAAGAGTAGGCCGTAGTGCCGCTGTCCAGGCAAAATTTCCCTCATAGCACACTGTATGGCGTAGGTCCGTCTTCATTAGCCCAGTTCGGAGCAGAACAGTAGGACGTTAAACCCCATTTCATTTATAAGAAGTTATTCCGTGCATACATTTGATCATCGGTATTATGTTATCAGTATGTTATATACATTGAGACACGATAGTCAACAAAGAACATCACCCAATTCACGATTCGTAGATAATATTTAATGATATGGTGTATATTTGATATAACACTAGATGTTTGATAAGCTTAACGCATACCTTAATGATTCTATAGGAAACAAATGTTGCCGGGTAACAAAATATATATCCGAGCATTTATGAGATAAAGAACTCATATACTTTCAAAGGGATAATATCAGATTTCGTAACAAAGGAGAATAATTCTAAAATTTATTATCTAAAATTGTTTAAAATCAATAGTTTTAATTTGAATTTTTAATAAAGCTCTATTCATCAAGTCCTAATTTAATTTGAGAGTAAAATCAATTTGATTAAAGATACATTATGGAAGATTAGATAAAGAGCTGGCAGTTCGCATTATAATAGTTAAAAACTAGATAATGTAAAGGGAATTTGCTGAAAATTTCAGTTCAATTGCTTCATTTTGAACCGAGATATTAGCGGTTTTAGCCTAGCCTCGATTATCATTACTAAAGTCGGTACGATAAAAAGCATAGTCTCGATGATTCATTTCTGGATTAAATCATCAAAGAGCGTTGAACAGCAAATCGGATTCAAATCCAGTGACAAATCGGCACATAAGATGACATCGAGAGTTGATTAAGGTCTTTTCATGTTAATAAATGTCTAATTAATAACATTTCAGGCCCAAACAAAGACCTGCAATAGGCAGATTTAGCTTTTGGATAATGTATGTTTAGATTTGTGAAATATATGGTTGTGTGACTCCGACAGTACGGTGGGATGCACTGAAGTTGCTGAGGAATCCCGACTTGCCACACTAGACACACGTCCTGCACCAATGATAAGGAATATCCCCGAGAATCTTTCTCGGCCAACACCGGGGGGTTAATGTCCACTCGACACAAACTAGGTCATCCCGGGACTAACATATGGTTCAATTATATTTCAATAATTCACTAGCGCGCCGGAGTGTCTTTAGCAGTGGGGGGAAACCGGAGGACTCGGAGAAAATCCACGAGGATGGACAGGCGACGATATTCTGGAGAATCGAAACCACGTCAGTTGATTCAATGACAGACCTTATGATACAACGCGCTTGCGCTAACCATTCGGCCATCAAACCATCCGATTAGTCGTAAACATGTTTGGCGGCTTCTGTGAATGGTTGTCGGAATCAATTTTGTCGGGGACGACATGGTTTTATGGCCATATTGAAATTGTATTAATAAATCGGGGCTATCGATATTGCAAGAATTGGAAAGAACTAAATAGGCTGAAAACAAAGCTTGAAGTAATTAGAGACCTTTTTTGGATGGATTTATTTCCACCTTCATCAATTTTGACGTAATTCATACAATATGGCTTCCACTCCACACATGTTTCTACAGCTTCAAAATCCAGATCACAAAATGGATATTCACACACATGACAAGTTCCTGAAAAATAAATAAAAAATATGGTTTGCCGTTTTATAAGTGAATAGGATTGGAACAGGATTAAAACAGGACAATTAAATATTCACAGATGGCATTGATGTCGGTACTCCGGTTAGAGTCTTGTTATTCTGTTACGACATTTTTGTACATCGTTTTGAGTGAAGTCCGTGCCATTACAGGCCCGGGACTACACAGCGCTGTGGACACTTACAGCTGGCCCCCGGATCCATTCACTTGATTTGATATTTATTTTTTTTTTGCAATGTCTATTTTCTGTTTTGTCCGCTGGTTTATCTTGTAGATTTTTGTTTTGTGTGTAGTGTGGTGTGGTTCTCCTGCACTTGTTGTTGTTCTTATTGTTTAAAGTCCGCTTCCACCGAAGGTGATATCGTGATATCGCAGACAATTCTTATTTTTCATTTTTTTTTTTTATCTTAGCGCACGCGTCTTTCCTGTGGGAGCCAATCGGAGTACCCGGAGTAAACCCACGAGGTTAAGAAAGCGCCCCTATCTCCAAGCCACATACGCTCACACCAGGGATCGAAACCATAACCGCAAGTGACGGGCCAGCTAGAGGTCGAAGCGCGGCACTCTAGACCACTAGGCCATCCCAACCCCCCCTCCTGCACTAACTATTAGTATGAAGATATATCCATACGGTAGATGTTTAGTTGATGTCAACCAATCAGATTGCAACATGCTAATCAAATATGCATAGGTGTCATTTGTGTCGGGGTTCGTATACAGAAGGTTGGTGCTAAATGATAAGGCCAGCTAAAGTTTTCGTCATAGGTCACGAGATGTAAACATCTTTCTAAAGGAATTTCATTTTTAATATGCTATAAACATGATTGAAAGCGTTCTATATATAATTACCTCCCTTTCATTACAAATGAAACGGTGTTTACCGTTTAATTGTTCTGCTCTGATTGGGCTAATGAAGACGGACATACGCCATACAGTGTGCTTTGAGGGAAATTCTGCCTGGACAGCGACGCTACGGCCTACTCTTAAATCGAATTCCAACTGTCAAAGGATCTTTTACGTGCATGCCAGTGTGTACACGGGAACTCGTTTTTTCATACCATCCGAGCGACTAGACAGCTGTTCTTGTCAGGCCCCCTGTTCTGCACAAACACGCCGGAACATCTGGATGAACTTTCGCGGCCAATACAGGGATCGAACACTTAGCCACCGTGATCCCCCGCAAATTCTCATTAATATGCCTGTTACGTATACTTGTGTAGTTTTTTCCAATCTGATTAAAACAAAGATCTTATTTCGTTTCGTTTTTTATAGTTTAAAATTTCGTTTTACTTGTCTTTACTAGACTAGGATCTGGTAGAGTTGTTATATAACTGGAGTTCTCGTTGAAGTGAGGGATAAGCCAATGAAAGGTTTGTTACGGCGAGTTCTTGGCGTGCGATGCACGGAACTGTGGGTTATAAACCACTAGAAACGTCATGTTCCTGAAGCAACGTCCGCGAGTTTTACAACATCTACATAAGATTACGTAGTTAAGACGAGGTCAAGCCCTCTATTGAATATGTAGAAACGACAACACTGTTTGATTAATCAATGTCTGACGTCATAGGGTCAAAAGCTGCACGTATGTCCCCCTGGCGCGACCTATCACTACAACCGGTCAGATCTTCATGAAGTGTAGGCCACCGAATGTACGAAAAAACGAAACGAAATATAGATCTGTATTTTAATAAAATTGAGCTTCTTCACAATACCGCGCAAATAAATACACTACAAAAAATGTTAGGCTCTATAACTAAGGGGGGGGGGGGCATGGTGGCTAACTGAGTAAGACGCTGGCTCACTAGCCTGTTCGATCCCTGCATTGGCCGAGAAAATTTATCTAGATTTTCCGACGTGGTTCCCCCTTGTCAGTGATGCAGGTCGTTAAACCCCATTTCATTTCATTTCTATAACTAAGTATCACTAATGAGATACAAATATGCCTTCTTCAAGAAAAGGAAAATCTTACTGTTTATTGGTAGCTTATGTGCTGTCGGAATCGGTGGTTTTGGAGCGGGTGTTGTGGTACATTTGGAACTGCATTTCTTCTTTATAAGTTGGTGGTGGCAGTCATTGTGAACTATAGATTTACAGACACTCTCATCAACGTGGCAGATTGGTTGCTTTTTTTCCGAGATCCATTTTCCACACTCGCCACAAGACACGGGACAGGAGTTACGTACCCATTCGTGTTGACATAAATCCGTCCCTCTTACCGAATGACAGTCTCTTGGGCTACAATCAAAACATGTTTCTACGTAATGTTTTGTGGGGCTAGGAGCACCATTCGCTGGATCAAAGCAGATGGCTAAAAAAGATGAAATATCAATTATTTTTTTTTTATACAAGAGGTAATACAGATCTGAGAGTTCAAGGTCAAACATATCGCAGGCTATCTATAACCTCTAATCCAATAGCGGGAATCATCACGCATATGTTATAAGCCTGGAAATAAGGCACCTGTCACAGACAATGTCAGGCACAGATTCAGGCTTTGTCAGGCACAAAACCTATGGTGCCTGTCATTTTGTCCGGCACTGATTTGTTCTTTTTATTGATATTATTAATACATGCCCGGCACTAAGTTGAAAATGTCAGGTCTTATTTCCAGGCCTGCATGTGCTTCTTCATAAGCTATATAGGCGTATCAAGAAAAGAAGTCCGATATAGTCTATTGGGTGGAAAAGATAAAATGCAATGAACGGAAACTATTCGTTTTGCGAAGTCGCAGTTATCAGAGCCGTCGGAACCGAAGAGATATCCTCCATGTTGACTTCCATACATTGACAACCCCTTCCCCCCAATATGAATTTCATTCCGATGGGCCTGGTTATAAACATACAAAGATAGCCACACAGAGCGTGGAAAGCGCGAACACAGCAACTTTGTCTCGAAAAAAAAAGACTGTAGCCTCTATCACGTTCACAGGCTATTCGGAAAAGGGGGCATAACTCTGTAAAAGAAGGGCGCTCAACGCTAAATATCATACGGGTTCGACATCTCAAAATCTAAATGCTTTAGACGAAATTTAAAAAAAACAATTTTCGGACAGTGTGAAGAGGTTTCAACAAAAAGTGGCTTAACTCTAATAACATTAACCCGAGATTGATAAACAGAAATAAATAGACATCCCCATCAGGTCATAATAAAAGTATCCTGACACCCCCACCCCACCCCCAACTCCTTTCCAACACTAGTCATACCTAGATGATTCACTAGCAGATTGCGATAAAGCGAAAACTTTTGTACATACTTATATAAGCTTCAAAATTCATTCATAATTGCCCATTTCAATTTTGAACTTTGATATCCATGGGCCCATAGACACATAGTTTCTTATTGATGTATTCCATACATTAAAACAACAAAAGCTTTACAAAGGGCTATTTATTTTGAGTAAATTCTTAACTTCAGTCTGGGAATGCTTTGTGAAATCGCGGCCAGATCTTTGAAAGTTTAATGAATAAAAACTATGTATGCACAGCATTTAAATATGATTATACTTTTAGTCGTCGGATACATTTACTATATTACAAACATCTGATTTAATCAAATATAATAAATTCCGCTCTTACCTAATATTATAACAGCAAACAAGTGACTCATTCTGACATTTGTAGATAAATGTTCACGGTTCTTTATAAAACATGTATTTAAACATCCCAATGAACCAATCGCAAGTGCAGAGTGATATCATAAACCACACGGACATGCATTTAGATGATATAAAACTAAGAAATAGAGGAATGTTTAATACGATTAAATCCTTTAATCTGGAGAAGGATAAAGCCATTATAAATCTGCACAATGTTAAAAGCCAATAGTAAACAAAGTAACATCCTGGTTTGGCGTCCCAAATACGGTGTTGCTAACGTTGTGCACATCCAATTACACACTGAACTCCCAGAAAATAACGTCTTTAGTACAAATGAAATGAAATAAAATGAAATGGGTTTTAACGTCCTACTGTTTTGCTCCGACTGGGCTAATGAAGACGGACATACGCCATACAGTGTGCTATGAAGGTGGGGGATCAGTACAAACTAAACCACAGTCAGAGTTCAGAAAAACAAGCCAACAGTGAGACTGATGTCCCCCGCCGAAATCCCCAAATAAATAGATGACACATATTAATTAATCGCACATCTATTTTTTTTCCAAAGTATCAAGCAATCAAACTGATTATCAACTATACACTAAGTTTCATCACTCTCTATTAGATAGAATCAAAGTTATCTTGTCCCAAAGCAGGAAATTGCTTATCTCTGCTTAGCTTTAGCTCGATATGTTAATCATTGAACTCAGTCAAGACGAACATCTACATCAAGTTTAAACATTCTACCTCAATTAGAAGAAGGAAGAGTTGTTGAACTCAGTCAAGACGAACATCTACATCCAGTTTAAACATTCTACCTCAATTAGAAGAAGAGTTTGACCAATCAAAATGCTTATTGCTCGTTAGTCTAAGCAGAAAATTCTCATCATCGAACTTAGTCAAGGTATTGATGTAATGAAACTATACAACAAGTTTCATCACTCTCACTTAATTAGAACTAAAGTTATCGTGTCCCAAAGCATCAATCAATCAAATTGCTTATCTTTGCTTACCCTAAGCAGAAAATGCTTATCTTCACACTCCATCAAGGCATTGACCTAATAAACACCTACACCAAGTTTGAACATTCTAGCTCAATTAGAAGAAGGGTTATTGTGTTCCAAAGTCTCGGCCAATCAAATTGCTTATCGCTCTGCTTACCCCGAGCAAAAAATGCTCATCATCGAACTTAGTCAAGGTATTGATGTAATGAAACTATACACCAAGTTTCATCACTCTCACTTAATTGGAACTAAAGTTATCGTGTCCCAAAGCATCAACCAATCAAATTGCTTATCTTTGCTTATCCTAAGCAGAAAATGCTTATCTTCACACTCCTTCAAGGCATTGACCTAATAAACACCTACACCAAGTTTGAACATTCTAGCGCAATTAGAAGGAGAGTTATTGTGTTCCAAAGTCTCGGCCAATCAAATTGCTTATGGCTCTGCTTACCCTGAGCAGAAAATGCTCATCATCGAACTTAGTCAAGGTATTGATGTAATGAAACTATACACCAAGTTTCATCTCTCTCACTTAATTAGAACTAAAGTTATCGTGTCCCAAAGCATCAACCAATCAAATTGCTTATCTCTGCTTACCCTAAGCCGAAAATGCTCAACTTCGAACTCAATCAACGCATCGACCTAATAAACACCTACACCAAGTTTGAACATTCTAGGTCAATTAAAAGGAGAGTTATTGTGTCCCAAAAAGTGTGACGGACAGACAGACGGACGGACGGACAGACAGACAGACAGACGAACCCATTTTAATAGTCCCCTGCTTTCTTCGAAAGGCGGGGGACAATAAAAAGGGCCCAGCTTTGGAACCAAGGAATCGCCTATAATAGTAAGTGCAGGAGGACCGCACTACACGCAAAACAAAAATCTACAAGATAAACCTGCGGACAAGACAGAAAATAGACATTGCACCACAATCTGTACCTCCACCCAAAACTACTTTATAAAATTGCCTTCCAATCTAATTAAAATTCAGATCCATATTTCGTTTCGGTATTTTTTATACTTTCGATGGCCTACACTACATGAAGATCTGACAAGTTATAGCCATAGGTCACGTCAGAGGTTGTACCAGCGGCTTTAACCCCATGACGTCAGATATTGATTAATCAATCAGTGTTAACGTTTCTAGTGGTTTACCCACAGTTCCATGCATCAAACGCCAAGAACTCGCCGTAACAGACCGTTTCATTGTCTAATCCCTCACTTCAACCAGAACGTCGGTAATATAACAACTCTTCCAGATCCTAGTGCAGTAAAGACAATCAAACGAAATTTTGAACTATAAAAAACGAAACGAAATAGGATCTGTGTTTTAATTGATTGCCTTCGACCATGAATAATAAACCTATTGTCCTGTAATTATTCATACTAGCTATATTAAACATACTAAGAAGTTTTTTGTTTCACTGAATGTCCATAATATGAGTAATTTTGATCATATTGGAAAAATATGCTATGTTGTATAAGAAATTGGTTAAAGGGGATGGGGTCGATCCCACAAAATTGTTTCACTACAGATAATAAAATAAAACCAAGTACGAACAATCCAAACCATTAGACAAAATTCGAAGTCCTAAAAAAGCGGTATAGGCAAAATAGTGTAATCAGCAAATGGACTGTTCACTGTGTACAAACTACACGACAAACAGTGGTAACAGGTGTCCGGAATAGTATTTGGTTTCGTATTTAGCTTTACAATGGGCACGGAAGGCGCAAAATATGAGTTGTCAAGGTGAAATAGAATTTAAGCCCTCGAATTGATAATGTACTTCCTCTAATACCAAATTTACCCCACAACATAAGGTCTGGCATTGAGTTAACTGGCGTGGTTTCGATTCCCAGTTGTACGTGACAAGGAGTAGGGTTGTCTGCCCAACCTCGTGGCTTTCCTCCGGGTCCTTCGGTTTCCTTGTGCTAAAGCTCCCCCCACCCCCCCGCAACTTTACCAAAATTTAATTCACCGTAGTCTGAAAGTTTGGATGATATTCAACGTAATATCGCTTTATTATATATTTACATTCGTCAGCATGGTAGGTAGGACTTCTATAAAACTGCAAGTGTCGCGACATATTATATTTATACATGTACATGCAAATAATGATATTTTGATTGTAACAATATTTAAACATATTTTATTACTTTAAAGTAAACGGATCGGACAAAAGTTACTAAAACTTACAAAAGCGTCCCCTCTAATACAATATAACTGTCGTGGGTGGTCAGTGAAACAAAGTCAATAAATATACATATCAGATACTAATAATAATCAATAAATTAAACATACATTATGCAAGAGCTAAATCTGTCTATAGCTGGTCTTTGTTTAGGCCTGAAATGTTATATAAACTATTAATTAGACATTTTTTTAACAAAACAAGACCATAATCGACTCTCGATGGCATCGGATACTCGAGATTTTAACTAGATTAAAACGGTTCGCCATTTAAAAATTTAATTTAAAAATGGGAAAGCGAGGCTAAGTCCAGTGCGCTGGTTACCACAATGCACACATCTTGTCAAAACTACAAACAATGATCACTTGGCTGAGAATGTGGTAATTTGAATGAAATTTTCAATACTTTCTTTTTTTATCATCTATTTTTGAATTAATATAGCAAGAATGACCAACTCTTTAATAAACTTTTAACTACTGTATCTTTAACAAAACAAACATATTTATGCCTACACAAGTTCAGTGTATTTAAAATATGGACTAAGGAGAATACCTCGGGATATGTTGATTGTCACAATGTAAAATGTTTGCTTTTAGGTCTATGAAAATTGATTAAAACCAGAATTATACAAAATTCCGTTAACATTTTAAAAGGTTGGTATATAATTTACCACATATAGAGCTGTTAGTTATTATAATAATATGTTTTATGTAGAAATTTCATCATTTTCAAATTTATTGTCGAATTAATGGTAATAATGGAGTATTAAATAAAACGATATCCGAAGTAATTAGGATGGCGGAAATTACTACAACTATAATTATTATAGATGTGCCTATATAAACACCCATGATGATGTTTATTTCAATCATCAGCTGTACTTTCAGTGAACATTGATTGATATCTACACTTAACAGAATGGTGAGTATTAGACCTCTATGTTATTATTCAAGTTAAAAAGAGAAAAAATTAAGATGGTGTAATATAGTAAGTGAACAAGACAAACCCACGGACAGGACATTTCGAACAACAAAAGTCTATATCAGATCAAGTAAATGGCAGCCGGCCGTAAGACGTGCTTTGGGTCAGGGTTTTGAGTTTTTGCGCCCCCTTTAGTTTTTGCGCCCCCTTGCAAATGGCAAAAATCACGCGGTTTCAATGCGGCTTTCAACATTATAATCATAATGCTTAACCAGTATCAAACATATACCGTGGGTTAGATTATGCTACAAATGGACAACCCAATATTACCCGACGGCACTGAGGGGGACCCTCCGCCTTGCCCGAACATACATTTAAATATTGTTTTTGGGGGGCCCGGACGGGATCTTGTTGCAAAATCATGGGTCACCAAACCCCTACTATACAGTCCCGGGCCTGTCGTGATATGTTATTCTTTATGATACAAAGATAAAAGTAAGATCTTTTAGATTTCCGTTTAAGAATAAAATAAGATCTTATATGTTATTCTTCAAAATTAAAAAAAATATCTAAATGTTATCAACCAAGATAAACGAGAGATCGTACAAGTATTCTTCAAAATAAAAATAAGATCTCAAAATAAACGTGAGATCTTATATTTTATTCTTCAAGATACAAAGATAAAAGTAAGATCTTTTAGATTTCCGTTTAAGATAAAAATAAGATCTTATATGTTATTCGTCAAGATAAAATAAGATCTTATCAGTTATTCTTCAAGATAAACGAGAGATCGTTCAAGATAAAAATAAGATCTTATATTATGGTTGTCACAAAGTGACCTCAGGTTCTTTAACTTACTTGCCCCCTTTTCCAAATTTCCAACAAACAACACAACTAATTAATTTATTTTAAATATGTATATTGTACAATCAATTTACATATACAATTTAAGAGGTTTTTACAAAATTAAATGCTTTAAAGTTACAGTTCATTCCGGCATTTAATACTCTGTTGCTTTAATTCAATCAATCCTCCTGGTTAGCATTCAGATTAATTCTCCGTCTTAATTCCACCATCCCAATCGCGTAAGTTGTTTTTTTAAAACATTTTAAACCCGAACACAAATTCTCGGAAAACACAAAACCTTCACATGTCACAGATCTATTTCTCGTATTCACCTAGACTCACTAATTGTATTAAAACTTCACCAAGATTGAAATGTACTTCACCAAGACTACATGCGTACGATTCACAAAGTTCACCAAGATTAAACTACAATATGATTCACAAGGTTACCCCTGGGTTGAAATATGATTTATATCGATCACCTAGACATTACCGGTTAAATGTTATTTCATCAAGGAACGGATTCATCACATTTAAATACATCGTATTTAATTACCAGGTTCTAAGCATCTAAAGCCAGTCATTGGTGTTACTGTAGATACTGAAAAACAGTCATGTCTGGTCCTTTAAAATCTCTCTGATCTAAGTAGAGAAAACAGCCATGTCTATCCTGTAACTTATTTTAAACATCTCTGACAAACTTTTCTAATTCCTACACCAAGAAACTTTTAGTCACTCAAACATCCAATCAGAATTATGCACCAACTGCACATGCATCACAATCCAGACACATTCATTACTTTACACCCTCATTACCTAACTTGCTCAGACATACCAACAATCGTTCTGTAAAAACAACGCATATACATTGAAAATAATTAAACTTTATTAACCAAAACCTGTACAACCCTTAATAAATGTCTTTAAAAGAAATAAATATTCCCTTTAGCCATGTACCAAATTAATTAGGTACCCTAAATCACAGAAATAAACCATGTCACAATTATACATAGCAAATTAACATACCAATTGTGACAATGGTGTTCTTCAAAATAAACGTGAGATCTATGGTATTCTTCAAGATACAAAATAAGATCTTATATGTTTTTCATAAAAATAAGATCTATATGTTATCACTCAAGATAAAATAAGATCGTATACGTTATTCTTCGATCTTATATTTTATTCTTAAAGATAAAGCAAGATCGTACATGTTATTATTCAAGATACAAAGATGAAAGTAAGATTTTTTATGTTGTTCTTGAAGCTAAATATAAAATTAAGATATCATTCATAAATATACCTGGAAGTTTTGTTTTGTATTCACAGAACTCCAAAGTTGTATTATTTCTGGTTGGTATGGTGATGGTGGTTATGACAACCAGAGCTACCCTGCAAGATAATTTCAACGAATGTGAGAAAACCTGTAAAGGCACATTACAGCATTGTATTAAACTATACGACTGTGAACATCTAACTGAAGACCAGTATCATACATGTGAGGGACCATGTTGGAAGTATGCTAATCACTGCTACCAGAGATGTGTTACCAGAGAAATGGCTATTGACGCTGCTGAACACTGAATAATGGATGGAAAGCTAGACGTTTGGGAACTCCTTTTGTTTAATCATGAATATTCTCCATTTTGGACTTGAATCTTGGTGCAGAACCTTTTTTTTCCTGTTAAATTCTCTTTCCCGCAGATCGATAAATAAATGATGTACGTCCAAAGTTTTTCTTTTATGTTTTACTAGAAGAATGCCCGGCTTCGCTCGGGGGTCATAACCCCGAAACCGGAAGTGGTAGACTAACGCCACCTGGCCTATGTTACTCCCCGGTCCGAGCTAACCCTATACCCCAAATTTCAGACTCGGGGCAGACCTAGTGTAGCCGGCAATCCCGAACAGACAGACAAACAGACAGACAGACAGACAAACGACAGTCACAAATATTAGTATATAATAGATAGATAACTGCGGAAAATGCTAGATCGGAAACGGTCCTGCAATGTAACGTCATGTGTGGATTGTGTCTTTGGGTTAGGGTAAGGGTTAGGCTTGGTCCAGGGTTAGGGTTAGGGTTAGCGCTAGCCCTGTTTACATCTTGAGACCATGACGAAATATGCAGGGCCTAACCCTAACCCACAATCCACATATGACGTCATATGTGCTAGAATGCTCCGATCCAGAGTTCTCCTGTACCTCATATAAATACTCCGGCACACGTAGAATGTGTTTTCGTTAATTAATAAACATTTAATTATCAAGGATACTTTTACTTTCGATATCGTTTGAGTCTGAAAAAGTAAAAATCAAGCCCGACTCTCTCTATGTTATCTTCCCAAGCAAATAATAAGTGGTATGAGACGTTCGAAACAAGTAAGCATGTTCTGCCTTGTGAACAACAATCATAACTATTAAATGGAGCCATAGATTGGACCAATCTGTTTTACAGACCTAATGCGACATCCGTCTTTTATCTCTGTCCAAGATGACTGACCTTTAAAAGGTCAGATCGCTGTAGTTCTAAGGGTGACGTCACATCACAATGTTTACCAACAAAGCAAGATGGCATCGATAACGCCAAAAAAGATTACTTCTGTGGCTTGTTTTTGTTGTTTTAAAACAAACACGAGCAGGTCAATCAGATTAGACGGTAAAAAATGTACTACTGAAAGAATTCAGAGTAAACAAACAGAAAAAACGTCAAATTGATGGTCACACGTGCGTTGTTTACATCGAACGTAGTAATATGAACTGGTACGGGCAGAATTATATCGTTTTTCCCATTTTACGCCTCCGCGTACTATTTTCCGTACCTATTTACGCTAAATATGGAATATTTTTTATCAAGATACACTTCAAACACCTTTATTTATTTTTCTAATACTAAAAAAAAATGTTTCAGAATTTAATTTGTCGAAAGAAAAAAGTTAATATTTTGTAGTCATTAAGTCGCATCGATGTCATCCTTATCAGTGATTGTAGCGGCCAAGCGAATATTCACTGCGGATCAGTGTGAGATTGGACTTGTATCAGACGCTGTCGCCGCTATTTATCGGAAGAGCCGAGTGACTGTTGCCAAAGAAATAAATCTCTTGTCAGGGGAATTTAGACCATTGTACTTTACCCAATTCTATTGACACTTAAGTATTCCAACCTTTTAGGCCGTGGTTGATGAGCGGCGAGGACACAAGGCTAGAAAGACCCAGGTTAAGAGCCCCGTCTGGAAGGAGAACATCGCCAGAATAATATTAACTTCATGTTAGAATGGACTCAATAGGACAGAATTGGGCCTATTGAGCAATGTCACGCTGGGGGCACAAAACACAGTATTAGACGTTTGGTCCAGTAGGGTTCCCTCTGAGCAATATTTGGCTGTGTTATATTGTAGAGTCGATTTGCTGCATCTCTGCATGTTTTAACTTCTTTAAGTAGCATTAAGTAATTGAACAGTTACACACTAACACTATTTATGGAATAACAATTACTGGTTTATGATCATTTGCTTGATCAAGATGAGCGTATCATCGTCGAAACGTTGCATGTTAATAAACCAGTAATTGTTATTCCATAAATAGTGTTAGTGTGTTATATGTTTTACACCTGTTATGCTAGACCACGTAATGTTTTTCCATTTTAAAGAGGGTGGCAAAACTCAAGGGTTTCCCAAAATTCCAGACCCGATGACGCAAAATGCTTGCGTGATTGATTACCAACTGCTTTCAGAAAATTAAAGAAATACGAAAACCACGTTACATGTTTTTATTCTGATTCAGGGCATGTCGTATTCAAGGGACGTAACTCCCCATTGGTAATCGTCTGTGGTTCAGTTGTTGTTATTAGATGTTTATTTTGTGGATCGGGTTGAACTGTTATTTCTGTGATATCATCTGTTATTGGTATCAGTTGTGTACCTGACACAAATGCTAACAAACTTCCAACTATTGCCACAGAACCTGTTACAAAAAATCATAGGCAATGAAAGCTTGTTTAAAGGGTATAAGGTCTGTCATTGAGTCAACTGACGTGGTTTCGATTCCGCGGTTGTACGTGACAAGGAGTAAGGTCGCCTGTCCAACCTCATGGGTTTTCTCCGGGTCTTCCGGATTCCTCCCACTGCTAAAGACCCCCAACGCGCAAGCGAATTATTGAAATAAAATTAAAACCTACGTTAGTCCCGAAATGACCTAGTTTGTGTCGCGTAGACGTCAAACTCCATTGCACCCCCCTCTCTCCCTCCCTCTCTCTCTCTCTCGGTCTCTCTCTCTCCGTCCCTCCCTCTTAAGGGTATTTATGCTAAACTAGATTTAGTAGCGCCTACATATAGTAATAAAGGTAATTAACAAGTAAGCAGTGCAGCTAAATATACAGCGATTTTTATACTGAATATAAATCACTTAAAATACATTCATATTACATTAATATACGATTTTTTTAACCTATTTTTGTCTTATTCATTGTTCGAAAGAATAGAGCCATACATCCTTTAAGATGAAAAAGACCAATGTGATTTGGAAGTGTGTGAAATACTCGTAAGGGATTACTGTTAATTTGTTTTTATTCTTAGAATTTGAAATTGACCTTACCACCAAGATAAAATGTATAAGACATACAGCCTGTTGCTTCGACGACAGCGCCTGGAAAACAAAAAAATCTTAATTATTTTATATTGCGGAAACATATAACAAGGGTGTGGATACAGGCATTGAGGGAAGGATAGCTGCAAAGCAAGGACTTGACAATCATTTGGAACCTTTTTAGTGATTTTCCAAAATATTAACAATAAAATTTTATTAAATCCTACAATTTAAAGGTCCATAATATTTCAAGAAATTTGCTATACTTAAACTTCAGTCTGTGAACGATCATTTCCCAAAGTTTCAGAAATCCCCTAAGAGGAATGTGTTCGAGTAATTGCCAATTTTGCGCGACGTATGCAGGTTTGCCTCAAATGTATATTTTTAAAAGAACATGACAGTTATGCAAAGCCACCAAGATAACTGAAACCTTGGGGAATGATCCTACACGGAAATTTGCTGGACCTTTGTAGGATTTAATAAAATTTTGATGGGTTCTGTTGGGGTTTTTTTAGGGTTTTTTTTTGGGGGGGGGGGGCACCCTGTATAACAGTTTAAATAACATTTTACGAAATTGCCCTAGTGGGTCGAAGGAATCTAGTATATATATATAAGGCAATCTTCGAAAATGTTTCTATGTTGATATGTATAAATGTCCTGGTTTTAAAATCGGTATCGAGATGTTCCTATATATACCCTATCCGTTTTGGCGTCATTTCTTGGAGCTCTGCTGAAACCGGTGTCGCGATGTGACTCTGTATACCTGTCTTGGCATGGTGTGTTGGGACTCTGCTGAAACCGAAACGGCTAGCCTACGTATCTATTTGGTTTTCACATGGAACCTATTGCATATACTTTCTCCACCTGTTTCGTCTTTATGTAGACAATAGGATGGTCTTAAATAACATTTCTTATTAATATAAACCATTCAATTTCTTGTTATATCTGTCCTGTTATATCTGTCGTTCATTTTTACTTATCATTATTCGGTCTCCGGTAGATCTCCTATATTGCAACTAAAAACTAAAAAAAAGGGCCAAACTGTGACTTTAGACCTGGTGTTATCGCATAACTTACCTCTCAGGTAAATTGGACAAATTGTTAATTAACAAAATAACCTTGAAGTTCATGGTCGTTTACTGTATCAGTTTTGTTTTTTGTACAGCATTTGCTATCCTTACCTGCAAGAGCTGGAACAACTGCATAGGTTAAACCGGACATCATAGACAGAAACCCAAATCCTGATGCTAAAAATGCTAAACCAACACACTCAACAGTTAACGGACCAAACAGAGCAGGAATTCCACCGGTGAACATTCCTATGGCTCCGGAAAATATCATCTGGGATGTCCAAGAACTTGAATAAGAAGGAAACAGTAAGATTAAGAGTCCAGTTATTCCCAAACAAGAACCCTGTAGCAATGCTTTATTGATGTTCCTGTCGTTAGCAAGCAATCCTATGAGCAAACGTCCAACGATGGAACCGCTGCCATATGCTGTAAACAATGTTGCTGCTTCCATCTTGGTGGAACCCTGTTGCTCAGCATATATAGGTAACTGAATCAGGGTCATTGATTCCCCAGTACTAAATGAAAATATACTCAAAGAGTAAAATAAGAATGATCTGATTTTCAATAGTTTCCAGAAATCCATTACACATGCACTTTGAATACAACACATCCTCTTATTATTATCCTTTTCCAATTCCTTTATTTTATTATTATATTGTTTTGATTTTTCAAAAGGTGATGGACGGATTAGTATCGATAATGCAGTAATATTAAAACACAAAGCACCCATTATTAAAAACATCCCATGCAAAGTAAATTCATCCATCAAAGCACGTATAGTGACCGGTCCTATAAATATTCCTAAAGCAATACCAGATGTCATGAAGCCTGTTGTCACAGCTCGTAAACGATGAAAGTATTGTCCAGTGGCCACATAACAATTATTATACGCAAGACCATATCCAAAACCTAAAAGAAAGGAAAAGGAAAACAATCCAATTTAACCATGAAGTAAAAAAATGACCAAATAACAATATACATGTAATTAAAGGGACATTATGGAAGATTAGACAAGAGCTGGGCCCTTATTCACGAAAACTGAAACTAAGTTACAACCGAAATTTTAAGAGATACTGCAACTTCATTGGATATATGCAAATTGATTATATGCCAATCGAATTGCAGTTTTTCTTAAAATTTCGATTGTAACTTAGTTTAAGTTTTCGTAAATAAGGGCACTGGACTGTACCGACTGGGCTAATAACGAAGGGCATACGCCATGCAATGTACTATGAGGGAAAAATCTGCTCTACGACCTACTCTTATTTCGAATCCCAACTGTCAAGGGTTCTTTTACATGTACGCCAATGCACGTCCGACCCGAACGACTAAACGTTGCCCCTTGGCACTCCCAACCCCCCCCCCCCAATCCTGCACCACTGACAAGAGGGAGCGACGAACTTTCTCGGTCCACACCGGGGCCTCCAGGTTTTCTCGGTCCACACCGGGGCCTCCAGGTTACCGAGCCATTGTCTTACTCACTGAGCCACCGTGACTCCGATATTCTACACTCGATGACACACATTATTATATTTGTTTATATTATACAAGAACGTGTTGTATGTAACATATACTATACAAGAACGTGTTGTATGTAACATATACTGGTGTTTATATTATACAATATTCTACCATGAAATGTAACGTGAGGCTCAGAAAGGGATAAATAATGAAAGAGCAGAAAGTATTTGTCACTTTTCGGTTGAAACGACTCGATGATAAATACTATTTTTCACATGTTGGTTCACAATACTCGATAGAAATGTGATGTAAGTAACTTATTAGCACCTTTCCTCGGTGTATCGGTGAATATCAGGACAGTTTTGGTCGGGGGCCGCCTCGGCTTCGCCTCGGCTGGGCCCCTCGACCAAAACTGTCCTGATATTCACCGATACACCTCGGAAAGGGTGCCAATAACTACTACATACTGGTGTTTAAGATTAAGCAAACGAATAAGAGGATTAAAGTTGTCTACCGGGTATTATAAAGCATTATTTACACAAGAAATTATATGGACGGATTAATATAAGTTTTACAACTTATGTCCGAATCCATATAATTTATTATGTATTGTATATTGTATGTAATTATATGTTAAGTAAATACTGTTGAGAGACAGACAGAGACACACACACACACCCACACACACACACACACACAGGTTTAACGTCCACTAGACACAAACTAGGTCATTTCGGGACTAACATATGGTTCAATTTTATTTTGCATAAAATTTGAATGCGCGTAAGGATCTTCAGCAGTGGGAGGAAACCGGAGGTCCTGGAGAAAACCCACGAGGTTGGACAGGCGACCCTACTCCTTGTCACGTACAACCATGGAATCGAAAGCACGCCGGTTAATTCAATGAAAGACCTTATGATACAACGCATACACGTTAACCATTCTACCATCCAATCCCTAGTTTACGACGGACAATAATTAGTTTAAATTTACCTCCAATAAGAGCAAATGTCAGCATCAAAGACCACACTGATGTTGAGAAATATGACAACCCGAGACCTGCCAGTATAACGAATCCTGACAAGATTCCTGATAAACGACAGCCAAGTTTACCATTGATAACACCAGCTACAGGACCTGAAACATAACAGAACACTATCGTACTATGGACCAGGGACTGTTCGTGTTGTTCGCCAAATCGATGCAAAATTGACGAAAGGAGAAGATGGAGAAGAAGAAGAAGCAGAGGAAGATGGAGAAGAAGAAGATGGAGTAGAAGATGGAGAAGATGGAGAAGGAGAAGATGGAGAAGAAGAAGTAGAAGAAGGAGAAGATCGGGAAGAAGAAGAAGAAGAACAACAACAACAATATGAGTAGCGGTTAGCGACAAGTTCTTGGGCCAAAAATATAAAAGGCCTGGTGCTAGTAACATCATTCCTGTTCATAATATCATATTTATTGTATTGGACGTTAAATCTGTAATAAACTTAACATTCTTCTACTATCAAAAAAAGGTACTTGTGCCAGTAACATTCTTCTACTATGGAAAAGATATCAACCAAATGACAAAATTTCAAGGGAAAACATAGGTCCTCATGGTCATCAGCATTGGTCCCCATAATAGTCCACATACAGCACTGAAGATTGGACAACTGGCAAATGCGTATTTCATGTCAGTTATTGCAAAACATTTATCAACAGACTGGCCACTCGACACAAACTTGGTCATTTCGGGACTAACATATGGTTCAATTTTATTTCAATAATTCGATTGCGCGTGGGGTTCATTAGAAGTGGGAGGAAACCGGAGGACCCGGTCAGGCGACCCTACTCCTTGTCACGTACAACCGGGCAATCGAAACCACGCCAGTTGACTCAATGACAGACCTTATGATACAGCGGGCGCGTGTTAATCATCCCCCATTCAGGCCCCCGGGTCTGTATAAAGAATTATTTTAACTGTATCGGGTGTTTTTCTTTAAAAAAACAAAAAAGTTTGCATGTCCTGCCCCATGAATGATGTTCGTTACTAGTTAAAAGTACTTATAGCATGGTAATAATTTTATGGAAAGCAGACAATCAATACCTGTAAGAAATCCAACGCTTATGTGAGCTGATCCAACCCATGACGCATATATTAAATCTGCATCCATTTCATCCAACATGGCCGCCACAATAATTCCAGTGCTGTACTGTACCATGCCATATAGTAACATAGAAATAAAAACAGCACACAGCACAACCCATGCCCAGCCCTGATCGATGTCTTTATCGCTGTTATATCCACGATTCATAATACCTTAATACATCTTTAACCTATAAAAACAAAAACAGCAATAAAATAGACAGCTTTATGACAAATTGACAGGCCATGCCTAGTCAGTTCGGCGACGTTACTCAGTTATTTGACATCAGTCCATGCATTGTCAGTTCGCTGACGTTACTCAGTTATTTAACAATACTTCTTTCATCCCATTATCATACTTTATATCATATAATTGAGAAATAATTTTTTTAAGCAGATCATTTTGTAGTTATGCAGCTGTGAATTGTCAAGCCTTTTTGACTGCCAATCCCGTCGAGTAAGTTACTGATATATGGGATTCCTATCTGTCAAAAATAATATGACAGCTTAGACTATGTGTAACCACGCATATTACACTTGAATAATTTACACTCATGGGTGGAAATTCAGCATTGCACTTAATATAGCTATGAAATGGGGTTTAACGTCCTACTGTTCTGCTCCTATACTGGGCTAATGAAGACGGGCATACGCTATACAGTGTGCTATGAAGGAAATTTTGCCCGGGCAGCGGCACTATGGTCTACTCTTATATCGAAAGCCAACTGTCAAGGGATCTTTTACGTTCATGCCAATGTATACACAGGACCTGTGTTTTCCGTATCATCCGAGGGACTAGACAGCTGTCCTTGTCAGACCCTCCGTTCTGCACCACTGACAAGGGGGAACCACGTCGGAAAATCTGGATGAACTTTCTCGGCCAATGCAGGGATCGAACACCCGACCTCCAGGCTAGCGAGCCAGCGTCTTAACCACCTAGCCACCGTGGCTATGTCTCAGTATCATCCAAAGTCTTCGAAATTGAAAACAAGAATTATTTGCCAATTTAAATCAACATTGATGTTGTGATCTTAGGAGGAAAAGATGGGCTTCTGATATTCAATATTTAAGACAAAATAAACATTTTACCATTGGTACACGAATCGTGTATCATACTGCGTTCCAGTGCCATTTGTAACAAGGGACTCGACGAACGAGACTAGACATATTCCACAAGTCATGTCAAACGGTGACCTATATTCTTATCTGGAGAGACTTGAATAATCAGACGCTAGAGATTGTCATTCGATTGAGACTAATTCAGGCGTATTTCGCCGAACATAACTGATTAGAATTTACATTAAAAACAGAAACGATTGAATGTAAATCAGTTTATATACATTCATATTACATTATTATATCCGTTGCGACCCATTTGTGTCAATTTCTAGGTGCCAAATATTAGCCTTTTAGCTCCTATTATAATTTACACATTCTTATTAAAGATACATTATGGGAGATTCGATAACGAGTTGGCAGTTCTCACTATAATAGTTAAAAACTAGATAATGTAAAGGCAATTTGCTGAAAATTTCATTCCCATTTATCCACTATGAACCGAGAACTAATTAAGCGTTTGAAATTTCCGCCTGGCTTCGATCATCATTACTAAAGTCAGTACGTTAAACAGTATAGTCTCTATTATCCATTTAATCGTTAAATCGTGCAGGAAAGTTATGCAGTAAATCGGCTCATAATCCACTTAAGATCGCAGGCTAGCGATACCATCTAGAGTTGATTATGGTATGGATAGGTTAATTAATTTCTAATTAATAATTTAGATAACATTTCAGGCCTAAAGAAAGACCTGCAATAGGCAGATTTAGCTCTTACATAATGTATGGTTAATTATTTTTATTAGAAACACCGCTTCAAGTCGGTGTTGCTGGCGGTTTTGTTTTCGTTAAAGATGTGTTATATAAATTATTATTCGACATGGCAAGCCTATAATCAACTTTCGAGACCATCGGATGTGGCGCAGATGTATACGGATTAATAGTCATTAATTAACGATTTAATTTGAAAATGGACAAGTGAGGCTGAGTCTCGATTAACAAGTAGATGTATACGGATTAATAGTGATTAATTAATGATTTAATTTGAAAATGGACAAGCGAGGCTGGGTCTCGATTAACAAGTAACGTTTCGCTACTATAATATTAATACACAATCTATGTCAAAACACCAAACAGTAATAATAACGTCGCTGAGAAGAAAGTAATTTGAATGAAATTTTCAATATACATTTAAGTTTTTTGGAACTATTATAGCAAGAACAGTCAGCTCTTTATCTAAATCTTACATAATGTATCTTTAAGTAAATGACTCCACAGGTCAGTGTATACAGAGGTGAAACGTAGGTAATAAATGCGAGGTATCATCCCTACTTTTAATGGTTTCTACTCTAATCCTGCATATTAAAGTTACTGAGGTCCCGTGTATACATTGGCAGTTTGAATTCGATATAAGAGTAGCCCATAGTACCGCTCCCCGAGCAAAATTTGCCTCATAGCATACTGTATGGCGTATACTCGTCTTCATTAGTCCAGTACAGGAGCAGAACAGTAGGACGTTAAACCCCATTTCATTTACTGCTATGAAAGGAAATGAAATGGGGTTTAACGTCCTACTGTTCTGCTCTGACTGGGAAAATGAAGATGCGCATACGCGATACAGCGTGCTATGAGGGAAATTTTGCTCGGGGAACGGCACTATGGTCTACTCTTATATCGAAAGCCAACTGCCAAGGGATCTTTTACGTGCGTGCCAATTATGTATGCACGGGGCCTCTGTTTTTCGTCCCATCCGAGCGACTAGACAACTGTTCTTGTCAGGTTCTCCATTCTGCACCACTGACAAGGGGGAAACCATGGTTACTGCTATGAGAAAGGTGATAATAGTTAAGGCTGCTATGGGAAATATCATATATAGAAAGCGTAAAAGACAAATGGGATGTCACAAGGCGGAAATGGGATATCACAAATCAGAAATGTTAAATGTATCGAATGATGTTCTCCACATTACATTCGAATTAATACATTTGACATTATCATTCGAGGCATTTTGACATTATCATTATCGGTTATAGGACTTTGTACAATTACTTTTTAACCATGACTTATTACATTTTACTGTTTACGTTTAATCACTGGTAAATACATTTGAGCAGTGCATTTAATATTGACAGCAATGCCCTTCCGTACAGGGGCGTGACGGCCCATGATTTTACATAGAAAACGATATTTATATGTGTGTGCGGGGAAGAGGGTGGGGGTGGGGAGGTCCCTCCCAGTGCCACCGGGTAATATTGAGCTGTGTGGAAGATGCTAGAGTCCATTTGTAGTATATGTGACTCACGGTAATGTGTTACACAGGTTGAGCATTATAATTATTATTATAATGTTGAAAACCGCATTGAAACCGCGTGATATTTTGCCATTTGCAAGGAGCGCAACAACTCAAAACCATGACGTAAAGTTCGTCATTGCGCCCCTCTCACTTAATCCATGTCCTGCCTATTGCAGGTCTTTCTTTAGGCCTAAAATGTTATCTAAATTATTAACTAGACATAATCAACTCTCAACTGAATAAAAATATTGTTAATATAATAATAAAAACAAATTAAAACGAAACGAATTATTGACAATCTCATATTGATAAGAATGGTAGGCGTTTATTTAATCAATTTCTTGAGACTTGGACTCCTGGTCTGAACAAAGATCAAGATTTTCCGGCTTGGTTTCTCCTTGTCAGTGATGCAGGACGGAGAAAATGACAAGGACAGCTGTCTAGTCGTTCGGATGTGACGAAAAACCGAGGTCCCGTGTACACATTAGCGTGCACTTAAAAGATCCCTTGGCAGTTGGAATTCCATCTAAAAGTAGGCCATAGTGCCGCTGTCCGGGCAAAATTACCCTCATAGCACACTGTATGGCGTATGCCCGTCTTCATAATCCCAGTTCGGAGCAGAACAGTAGGACATTAAACCCCATTTCGGAACAGAAATCAAAGGTGTACTTTAATTTTAATCTCCTGGCGATAAGACATTGGCAAATAACTAACAGCCTTTTTACTTGAAAATAGAATTAGCTAACCTAGATTTCTCAATAACAGAGCAATACGTTCGTACCTTGGTACTCCTGATTTACACAACGATTGTACAAAACTCACAATAAATAAAAATGATATCCAACATTTCCTACCTCCACGGATATTAACTGCATATATACACAGGATCTGTAATTCAATAACTGTAAGGTTAACACAGTGCTGAGACAAAGCATGTGGCCGATTTTCATTCATTCATTCATTCACTGTTAACGTCAATACAGCTCACTGCTCGCGATAGATAGGCCACGGACATTACAGCGTTACTGGTATTATTGGCACAGAACTATTAAATCAATACAGCATGTATAAAGACTCTCGCTCGTCCTAGCTCCAACATCACAACAATATTTTGAAATTTGAGAAACGGATGAAATTTGGCGTTTATTCAAGTTAGGGAGATAAAACAAAATGGGTGATTAATTAAACGGGTTGTATCATTTTACTCACGTACTGTCTAACTTTTAATTACTTAATGACGGACCTTCAGTCGAAACACGTATTGTTTCTGTAAGTGTTTTGGTTTGTTTTTTTGGGTTTTTTTGTTGGTTTTTTATTGGGGGGGGGGGGGGTGCAGCCAAAACTATACATGGTGCAAACATTCTGTCAACGTAGATGTGGTTGGCCTCCATGGATCTATTTATTAAATATAGATTGGAAACTGTTTTACGGATGGGACAAAAATGATCTCAGATTGCCCACATCTCGGCTATTTCTCAACGGATTGTCTTTGGTTTTTTTATTTTTGGATTCTTTGGACGAATCTCATACGGACTCTGACTGAGGGTTTTTCGAAATTTGAAAGTTCGATCGATTAGATTTAATAGCAAAGATTTGCGAAAGTTTTCTTCATTTTTTTCGACATTCAAGGTGGCGTATCTTCGTCACTATCTGAGGCATGATATTGAAACCTGGTAGGAATAAGGAACACATCGATGCCTTCAAAATTACCGAGGCCTTCTGATTTTTTTCCGAACATGAATAGTTCTCGTTTTCTCCATTTTAAAAATAGACCAAAAATTACATAAGGTGGTGTTAGCCCCAGATGTTATCCTTCATTTTCGGAGACCTTGTTCGATAGCATTTGGATTTTACAAAAGTCTTCAAATCGAAATTTAGCTGATTTAATACTTTAATAGGTATTGGATCTAGTTAAATTTATTTTGTAAAGGATGCATTGTGTTTATGTATTATTCATATAATAATCACAAACTGTACAACTGTATTAATCGAATAATATATTGATGCCTAACTTGTTACCGGTAGTTTGATGCCTGACTGGGTACCGGTACTTTGATGCCTAACTTGATACCGGTACTTTGATGCCTAACTTGATACCGGTAGTTTAACTACATAAAATATTGTTTTAAAAAAAATCGTGACTGCTTCAGGGGCGGATCCAGAGGGGGGGGGGGGTGCTTTGTCCTTTATCGTCAGATGTGGGACAGGATGGGCACTCAAAGCACGAGATAATGATATAGACATTATGTGATATCACAATTAATGCTTTGCAATACTTTGCATCCATGAAATTGAATCACAATGTCACGGTATTAATTCATAATAAAAATTGACGTCAAACGAGGTGTTGAATTTCTCTGTTTAAAAAGCTCAGTGTGTAAATACGCCAAAATGACGGTAGAGACCATGCGGGAGGGGGGGGGGGGGGTGAGATACATTGTCTCAGGAACCTGGCAAACCCCCTCCTGCAAAAATTCCTGGAAACGTGTGTATGTGCATATTTAAAGACGATTTCCTATTCTCGTACAGAATAAAGCGTGAGAAAAAAAACAAGAGATTAGAAATAAAAGTTCGACAAAATACAAACAACTTTAACAATATCACACGATTGAATACTACGATTTCGAGATTGATAATTTTCGCTACAAAGGACTTTTTAATCATTGCCACGTTATTCTGTTTAACTTAAACATACATTATGAAAGAGATAAATCTGTCTATTGCAGGTCTTTCTTTAGGTCTCACATGTTTTTGAATTATTAATTAGACATTACAATTAACTTATCCAGGCCATAATCAACTCTCGATGGCATCGGATTTCTCTGATATTAAATAGATTAGAATACTGCAGCCATATTTTGATATAAGCTAAAAATGATGGAGCGAGACATAGCTTCGAACAACCAGTACCGTAGTTGAAATTATTGCACACGTCGTGTCAAACCTTCAAAAGCTAATATCTTCGCTCGCAATAGGGTAATTTGAATGAAATTTTCAAATTATTCATTTTACCTGATCTATTTTCCAACTATTATAGCAAGAATAGTTAGCTCTTTATCTAAATCTTACATAATGTATCTTTAATGGTGTAAACAGTCCAGGGTGTGGGGAGGTACAAAAGTGCCTGAAATCCAATGACCTTTGGTCATCTTACGTGATAATAAAACACTTCTTTTACTTGAATACGGCGAATTTGTGCTGAACTGACTATATTAAAAGGCAATCCCGAGCCAGCACTTTATTCGTTATTCGCGAATCCCGGATAACGTACCAACTTCACGTTTCCTATGTAGTTCTTTTAGGAACGGTCTCTGATCGGACCCTGTCCGCTGACCATTCCTATCCGTCCCTACATAGCTCCAATAGCTCTGTTCTAAGGCTATTTTGGAATCGTTACCGACTATTATTCACCGTAATCTTCTTTGTTCGCTATAAGGAATCATTTCTCGCCATATCTGACACTTTTTTTTATAATAATTCAACATTATTTTCAAGTAGAATTTTGCGATTACATACACATGCGGCCTACGCATGTTCGAGGTTCGTAATGGCTGATTAGTTCTAACTATTTTCTATGTTTTTCAGGGCATCTTTTATTTGATCTATTCACCAATTGTGTCGGAAAGTATAGTTTCTGGTATCCGGTGAATGCAAGCGTGTGTGTGTGTGTGAGAGAGAGAGAGAAAGAGGGAGAGAGAGAGGGGGAGAACTGGGGTTTAACGTCCACTCGACACAAACTAGGTTATAAAGTTTGTCATTGAGTCAACTGGCGTGGTTTAAATTCCCCCGTTGTGTACGTAACAAGCTGTAGGGTCGCCTGTCCAACCTCGTGGGTTTTCTCCGGGTCCTCCGGTTACCTCCCACTGCTAAAGACCCCTACGCGCAATCGAATTATTGAAATAAAATTGAACCATATGTTAGTCCCGAAATGACCTAGTTTGTGTCAAGTTGACGTTAAACCCCATCTCTCTCTCTCTCCCTCTCTCTCTCTCTCTCTCTCTCTCTTTACAGCAATTGAACGGGTTCTGAACAATAGCCATCGAATAATTAGTATTTCGGCTTCTACGTATTCTAAAATGCCAGAAGTGCGGAACCCCTTTGTGTATTTCCTCCGCTGTAATATTATATCACTTTAGATATGTTATATGGATAACCATCAACACAAAATAATCTTATTTTATATTTTATTAAACGTAAGAACCATAATATTTTACATTTTAAATATATAATTATTGACTGCTGGTTCTTTACTTTTAATTTTCGTATTGAAATGGATTTATTCTTAAAACTTCTATTTATCATTAACTTTCCAAATGGGTTCTACTATCACAGTTAAATGTTATACCTTATAACAAAACGATCATTCCACGAGAGATAAAGAAAGTTCAGATTCAATCCAAGTTTATGAATTTTGGCGTCTACACAGAGAACATCTTATATTACTTCTGGAATGAATCAGTTCATGAACATCATCGTATGATAGTCCTGCTTGATTTCTTATATCATCCAAAGATGGTATATTGCTTTCTGATAGAATATGGTTCACATTAATAAACATATCCCGCTTTAAGGAAACACTACTGCTTGACATATCCCGCTTTAAGGAAACGCTACTGATTGCCTTTCTTACGGGAGCCTGGACCCCGAATAAAAACTCAAAGTCGAGACCCGTTGATTCATGGGCTGTTTTCTCCACAAACCTAATGTATTCACCATTTGCACATGGTACGCAGTGGAATCTGGGGAAGAATCTTGTTTGGGTATAGTTCTTGGTCGAGTTCTTGCTAGGTCCAACAAGAGAATCTTTTTCCGATTCGTTCACCACCGAATCCTTCTGATATTCCTTAATTGACCCAGTTTGATTATCTATTCTGTTCTTGTCGCTATCTGTTGAGTTGATGTTTGGTGGCGTTGGTAAAATGGATTCGCTTATATCCAAGAAAAAGTAACGTGGGTGTATAGCGGTTTCCTCATTAGAGAAATCTGAATCCGTAAGGTTTTTATTATCCTCCTTATTAGATGGACCATTTGCTCGGACCCCTTCTCTTGATGTTTCATTTGGATGAATCGAGGTCATGCCGCAGTCAATTTCTTCATTCTGATAAGTCAGATATATATCCTCTTTATTTGATTGCAGCTGCTGGTCGACGGTTTGTATTTTTTCTCTGTCTCTGGAAGAGCGTTTTGGTAGAACTCTTTCGTTAACACCACAACAATGTTCAAGCGCTTTTCCGTTCTGGCAGGCTGTACACGTTTTCTGATTTTTTGAATTGCACTTCGGTGATTCATTTCGATTTGCCTTATGCTCATCGAGTTTTTCAGGTTTGATCGACGATGCTGTCATATCCTCGCCTGCAGTGTAAGCGGGGTATAAATAATTTCGATCTTCATCCAGAACTGGCGCTTCAAAACCGATCGGTTCCACGTAGTATTGTCCATGGGTACCTGCCTTTCCCTGTGATATTTGATGATTGTTTGATGTTGGATATCCTCGTTTATCTGCAGGGTGGTTTTGTAAGTGATGACGGTCAATTCTGTGAGTGTCTTCAGCGTTTAACATTCCAATCTGCATGTGTTCATCACCAGAACGGGATTTTCGGGGTGGAGCCTCATAAGATAAAGACTCATCGATGTAGTTGATGTATATTCTTACATCCAACGAGTCGGTGGGGTTTTGTGTTGTCTGATGGTTTTCGTCCACGTATGGTCTATCAGCATCTGCTTCACCAATAAAGATATCATTAAAGCTTTTAACAATGCGTATTGTATTAGATTTGCGTTGCTTTGTAGTCCCTTCATTGGTTACGTCAGTAGAAGGGGTTCCTTCTCCAGGGTCACCAATATGCACTTGTTCACGATCAGAATGGAAAGCAGGATTATGTTTGTCGGCTTCAATGGTGCGGATAAACTCTTCATATTCACTATCGGTGCTATCAAGCTGTTCGTCCTCGTTAGTAATAATTCTTTGGTTCCGACCATCATCTACCCCATGAGGAGTTCCTGTGTTGTGCTTCTCTTCAGTTTTTGACCCATCAATAAACTGTTTGTGTGAAACTGAAATTTCTTCCGTGTCATCTTTATCCTGACTATTATGATTATCTTGAAGTCTATCTCCGCCATATTCCATGGACTGTGATGAACTAACATATTT